CATTTACATTTTAATTTTCCCCCTTAAAAAGCAATCAATATTGAGAATATCTCATTGAATCATCAACCTTAAATTTGAAACCCTAAACTTGGTACCAATGCATTGATGTTTCATTAACCTATTTCCTAAAGTAAATGCTAAATTTTCCCAACAAGCTACTTTGTGGGATTACGATTGTTACCACTAAAACTTATTGCTATTAAAACATATTTATTTATTTTATCTAAAACTTTACACATTAGTGGAGTGTCGACATGATTTAAGTAAAACAAAACATAAAAATTTCATAAAATTCCAATTAAAATTTTCATCTTCAATTAATAAGTTTATTAACTTTTCTACTTTAAACATATATCTTTTTAATTTAAAAAACTACATATAACTAGTTTAAAAAATTAAAATAAAAAAAGAACGTAAATTAATCTTACTGTTTCACCAAACGCCATTGCTCCCCCTCGCCAACCCTCGACTACCCATTGTTGTCTGCTCCTCATCACCACCATTGTTCCTGCTATCAATCTCCCGCATTTTAAGATGTCTTTTTAAATTTTTTTTTCGTTTCTCTCCCTGTTTTATCTGTCTATACGCACTCCGTTAAATTGTTGGAAAAGAGGGAGAATCGAAAGACAAAAAAACAGGTAAAAAAGAGGGAGATTGATGGCATGCAGGGTCAACTATGGCGATAGACGATGATAGACAACACACGACGATAGGTCTGGAGGGGGAGCAACGTCGTTAAGTATGAAGGGTTTGCATGGCGTAGAAGTTTGAGAACAGTAAAATTAATATAGGTTTTTCTTAAAACCTCCTACTTAGTTACATATAACCTTTTTGGGTTAAATGATTATAAGTTACCGATTAAAAGTTTATTAAGGTGCTGTTTACCTAAACATTTACCCAGTAAGCACTTGCCGGTAAAATTCAACGCTATCGCTTACTTACCGGGTAAGATTTTATTCACTACAACGCATCGTATGCAACAATTTATCCCGGTAAGCGCTAACCATGGTAAGAGTCCTCGTCCTCACTTACAGGGTAAGACTCTCGATTATTGTCTTCGCTCTTACGGGGTAAGATTATTAGTCCTTACCATATTCATCCGGTAAAGTAAAGTGACTTGGTAAGCGCTTACCTAGATAAACGACACCTAAGTGAAGTTTCGACTTGTATACTATCAATCAATGTGAAATGACCGCATAAAAATCAGAAAAAACAAATCATGAAGTACTCTTTATTATAATTAGATAAACTAATGATGTATTATTGGTTATGGATGATATTACATATGAACTGTTTATAACAGGATACATTGTTATGAAGTAATCTCTTTATTATTTTAATTATCGTCAGATGATCAGTAGAGCTTCTTATCATTTATTAATTACCATATCAATATTCTTAATTCTTAATTTGTAATTATTAATTTATATTCCTAGTGTAGGTTTGGTGATATCATATGTTGGTGGGTTGGGACGCAATATCATTAGTAATATTTCAACTCTATGTGCCATGGTCGGTCATTGACAAAGATTCCCCAAGCGAATCTAGGATTTTTTGTGGGTGTATACTTGCTATTACTTATAAGTGATAAAGTAACAATTGGTTAAAATGATATATTAAACTTAATAAATGAGTATATGTAAGGAATGTACCAATGGCATAGCATTATTGATGAAGAAGTTGTATGCAGATGTCGTGGGAGAAGCTCAACGAGGACGAGATGCCAATCGTAAGGTCCCGGGCAGCGGACATCCATTTTGATGGATCTTACTTTCGATGGTTGCATTGGTTAATTACTCGTTATTAGGCTTGTTCCCCAGCCCCATTCCCCAATGGGTACAAAGATTAAAATCCCATCCCTGAATGAATTATGGTCAAACCCCCGTTTCATACCCTGATCCGTTCCCCAACTCGTAAAACATATTCCAACAGTTATGTTTTTTTTTTCTTCCTATTTAAATGTTTTGAGTCCTGTTTGATTGTTTCTATCCCCTATTTTAGACCCAACGTAAAAATGAACAAATGTTCAAACTAAAATAAAATTTGAACTTTAAAGAAAAGCAGAAAATTACGATTGAAATCCTAATTCCAAACAATACATCAAACTTAAGAAAATTCTTCAAAACCTTTAATGTTTCCAAGCAACACATTTCATATGCAAAATTAATCAAATCCTTGCGGTTATGGCTCACTCAACATGAACATCGTATGCAATTGTTTCATCAAATCCTTGCGATTCTCCTTGTTTTTTTCCTGAAATTAAAATAAGTCCAGTTAGCACTACAAAAATGAAGAGTACCAACAAGGGAAAATTCTCTCGCAAATCCGTAACTAAAAGGCCAAAAACTCATTCCCTCGCTGATCCCTCGCAGATCAGCGAGGGAAATGTCAAAAACTCATTCTCTCGCTGATTCCTCATTGATCTGCGAGAAATTAGCGAGTGAATCTGCTTTTGACCAGATCCCTCGCTGATCCCTCGCTGATCAGTGAGGGAAAGGCCAAAAACTCATTCCCTCGCTGATCACTCGCTGATCTGCAAGGGTTTAGCAAGAGAATCTATTTTTGGCCTCCCACGCAGATTAGCGAAGGATTTTTCCCTTGCTGATTTTCATCGCTAATACCTTGTTTTCTAGTAGTGTAGAAAAAATGTATATACCCGTATGGTAGAACAATTTATACAATTATTACCTTCAATTTGTTTCTTTAACCAACTTTGGTTGCAGATCAATGCTCCAACTGTTTCCGATTTGAGTCGACTCCGTCGTTTCGTTATCTTGTTCCCGCTCTATGCTACAGCCGATTCTGAAGCTAACTAGAAATCGGAATGACTAACACATCCTCCACAATCCTCTGCAAGATAGGAAACTTAGCACCGTTGCACTTCCACCACATCAATAAATTAAATCCTTCCTCATTTGGTAACAATTTCTTCGCCAAATAATCATCTAACTTTGTCGTTTCAAATATACCATCCTGAGAGATCATATTCTCAAAATCCAGATCCATAAAGCTTTGATCGAAGAAAATATCCCCCATCAGAGAGAGTAATGCCACTTTGCCCTTTCCTTTCATTGTGGTCATGCTTCTTTTTGTACTCTTCAAATAAATCATTACATAGGGTATATATCATCATAATCTCATCTTTTGAGTCAATACCATAAATCTTTCGAAAAAAAATAATTGATCAACTTTAGCTTATACCTAGGATCCAAAAAAAATAGTCACACTCATCACATCATGTATAACTCCCGATATTTATCAAATTTAATCAACATGTTTGATGTTATATTCCTAACAACATAGTCACCTTCTTGCCAACTTCTAATAGATAATTTCAGATCACAAATCAAAGAAAAGAGCATGTTTAAAGTGGGATACTTGGTCCTGGAGAATATATCAGTCACACGATAAAACAACTTTAACTTATAACAAACATCATGTGCCATTCTCTATTCCTCTTCACTAAGGAAACACACATAATGTTTATCTGTTTTGCTCAAACGTGTAAAAACATCTTTATACTGTATGGAAACATTCAACATTAGATAAAACATAATTCCATCTATTCTCTTTCACAATCTATACCTAGTTGTCGTGCAAAAAGCCTAAAGCCTTGGGTCCTTTTAGGAGAACATGTTCAGAACAAGACACTATCACTAACATTCTTGATTGTGCTCTCAATCATAGAAACCCTCTTGTACAATGAGATTAATGATTGCACAACATCTCATGTGGAATAACCTACCCTTTAAAATTAAGGGGGAAAGACAAGAGTACCTAAAAGTCTATCGACCAAAGCTTCATTTATTGAACAACTGTCAAGTGTCAATGTTGACAACTTGTTGCCAATGTTCCAATTCATAAAACATTCAACCATTTTGAGATAATGTATCAACAGTAGCTGGAGATAGCACACGCATAAAGCCACAACAAAGAGTATATTAAAAATTAATATTATACTATTGTAGATATTAAGATTGAACTATAAAGATTTAGAGAATAGTAAAACGAAAAAGAACATGATAATCCAATTTTGTAACCTCCACGTAGCATCTATGTAGTGTGTTGTTAGTTCCATGTAACCTTTCTTTTGGTTACCCACTGTCCACATATCCAAAAGTAAAAGCAACCCCGCTTTCGTTTTCTCCCAACACCGCAATGTATGACCTATTTTCTTTGTTTCGTATGTATTCATGATGTCACTTTTCATTGTAGCTCTAGAAGGCATCTTAAATAAAGGTTGAAGACTATTTGAATAACTTCTAAAACTCTAATGCTCAACAATAGAAAGTGGATAATCATGAAAAATGAGCATCTTAGCTAACTCATCATTTGAAATTTCAGCACTAAGGACATAATTACTCAACAAAGATGTTTTCCCACCCTTGATCGTTATCTCTTGAACTAGAAATACCAAGTCTTGTGCTTCCCATGAGACTTGATCTACGAATAATTAGCCAGTAGAATAAGCCTTATTCAGTTTTTATTTTTTTTCTTCTTTTTAGCAGCTTTCTGCTTACTGTAGTGGCTATTTAAAGCCATGTTAATCTTTCAATAAACTATCAAAGCAATCCTATGTAATCTTCACTTTTATTTTGATTTCTCTGTGCATAACAATTGGTATCAGAGCCATTGAGAGAAGGCCTTGTGTGAGAGTAAAGAAAAACCAAAAACAAGAGTGAACGAGAGCAAACACGAGTGAAACGAGAAATGTCGAATGAAGGACAAAACTTGTTGAGCATTCCGAAATTTAACGGAGACTACAATCACTGGAGTATGCTAATGGAGAATCTACTTCGAAAAAAGAGTGGTGGCATCTCATAGATCCAGGTTATAAAGAACCAACAGCGGGATCCAAAGAGACAGAGGCAGAGAAGTCGGCACGAGCAGATTTGAAGATCAAGGATCTCAATGTTAAAACTTACTTATTTGCAACCATTGACAAATGTATTATGAACTCTATACTCCAAAAGGAAACATCTCGGGACCTTTGTGAGTCAATGGGAAAGAAAGACCAAGGGAGTCAAAAGGTTCAGAGATCACAGTTGCAGGCACTTCGAAGGGAATTCGAAGTTCCGAAGATGAAGGAGAGTGAGACGATTACAAATTACTTTGGTCGCGTAATGTGTGTTGCGAACAATATGCGTAACAATGGAGAAATTCTGAAAGACAATCAGATTTTTGAAAAAATACTACGCACTCTCACTGAGAGATTCATCTACATCATAGTATCAATCAAAGAGGCAAAGAATATAGACCGTCTAAGCATGGATGAGCTCCACAGTTACTTAATCATGCATGATCAGAAATTCCGAAGGAAAGTAAAAGAGGAAGAACATATATTAAAGGTAACAAATGAAGAAAGAAACTTTAGAGGACGATGACAAGGTCGGTTTAGAAGCAACCGAGTCAGAGGACAAGGGAGGAATATGATGAATAAAGCAGTGATTGAGTGCTACCACTGTCACAAATTGGGACACTTCTAGTACGAATGTCCTGAATGGGAGAACAAAGCAAACTTTGCAGAGTTTGATAATGATGATGAAGTAATGTTGATGGCTTACATGGAAGATAAGGCAATGAGAAGTGAAGTATGGGTCCTTGATTCGAGATGTAGTAACCACATGAGCGATAATCAAGAATGGTTCCCAGATCAGACTTCAAGCACACTATGAAGTTAGGGAATGATAGTCGCATTGCTGTTGCAAGAAAAGAAATGTACGAATGTAGGTGAACAGGATGACTCAGGTAATTTCAAACGTATATTATATACCTAAACTAAAAAGTAATTTGTTGAGCGTTGGACAACTACAAGAGAAGGGCTTGGCTGTGCTAATTAAGGATAGAACTTGCAAGGTCTATCACCCAACAATGGGGGTGATCATGCACTCAGACACAAGTGGAAACAAGATGTTCCCTCTCTTAGCTGAAATGATGATAAAATAGCTAGCATGACTGCATATTCAGTCAATCGATGAGGCACATCTGTGGCACTGTTGCTTCGGGCACTTAAGCTACAAAGGTCTTATAACCTATCACATAAGGGGATGGTGAAAGGGCTGCCCGCAATCCAAACTTCACAAAAGTTGTGTTCAAGTTGTTTGGTAGGCAAGCAACATTGCAAGAGTTTTCTAAGAATAGCATGTGGAAGTCAACACACAAGCTCCAGCTGGTACACTCAAACATATGTGGTATTAGTCCAGCGTCAAACGGCAATAAAAGGTACATTTTTAGGTTTTACTGATGACTTTACACGTAAAACCTGGATATACCTTCTAAGCTAGAAATCAGAAGCCTTTTGTGCCTTTAAGAATTTTAAAACAGTTGTGGAAAAAGAAGCAGGGAAAAGTATACTTTGCCTGAGAACAGATAGGGGGGTGAGTTCAATTCAAATGAATTCACTATGTTTTGCAAACAACAAAGGATCAACAGGCAACTGACAGCGTCATATACGCCTTAGCAAAACGGTATTGCTGAGCGTAAGAATCGTACAATTATGAACATGGTACAATCTATGTTGAACGAGAAACAAATGCCAAAAGAGTTTTGGGCAGAAGCGGCGTACTGGTGCATTCATATACTGAACAGATCTCCAACAACGGCCTTGGAAGAGAAGACTCCCCAAGAGACATGGAATGGCAACAAACCTAAGGTACACCATTTTCAAACTTTTGGGTGCCTAGCACATATGCATGTTCCAAGTCAAACAAAAACCAAATTGAAAGATCAAAGCAGACCTTATGTATTTATTGGTGTCAGCAAATAGTCTAAGGCATATAGGCTCTTTGATTCAATAGCAAACAAAGGTTGCAAAAGCAGGGACGTTGTTTTTGAAGAAAACAAGGGCTAGAATTGGGAAAAAAAAGTGCAAATGTGACTACAAAGGCACTTACATAGGGAGATGTTGATGAAGATGAAGAAGAGTACGGTGAAGTTGAAGCAGAAAAAGAAAGTGATTCAGACACAATGTTAGAAGATAAATCATAAAGTTCATCAGTTGAAAGTGATGCACAAGTTCGAGGTGAATCCACAACACTGGATGCTCCTAAAGAAAGGCAGCATAAAGCTCCTACATGACTGTCCAATTACACCTCTAGGGAAGGACTTTCAGAGGAGGAAGAGGTTGTCATGATGATGACAGAAGATGATCCTATAACCTTCCAAGAAGTTGTGAAGAGTAAGAAATGGAAAGAGGCGATGGAAAAAGAAATAAAGTCGATTGAAAGGAATGGTACGTGGACGTTGTGCATGCTACTGAAAAATGCAACGGCCATAGGAGTGAAGTGGGTATTTAAAACCAAATTAAATGAAAAAGGTGAAGTCGAGAAGCACAAGAACAGATTGGTGGCAAAGGGGTAAGCACAACAATACGGAATCGATTATACAGAGGTATTTGCACCGGTGACTCGTTTGGATACTATCTGACTCATCCTAGCTATTGCGGCACAAAAAAGGTGGGAAGTACTTCAATTAGACGTAAAAAGTGCATTCCTTCAAGGGGGACTTAAAGAAAAAGTGTATGTACAACAACCCATGGGTTTCAAGAAACACGGAGAGGATGAGAAAGTTTATCTACTGCACAAGGCCCTGTACAGACTTAAGCAGGCTCGGAGAGCCTGGGATAGTCGGATTGAAGCCTACTTTTTACATGAAGGATTCAAGAGATACTCGTGTGAACACACTTTGTTTACAAAAATAAAGGAGGGTGGTAAGTTTCTAATAGTAAGCCTGTATGTTAATGACTTGATTTATATAGGAAAAAATAAGTTTATGTGTGAAGACTTTAAACTTTCAATGATGCGTGAATTTGATATGACTGATATGGGAAGGATTAGGTACTTTCTTGGCATAGAAGTGATTTAGAACGAGAAAGAAATTTTTATCTGCCAACACAAATACGCTCAAGAGCTGCTGACCCGATTTGGAATGGAGAACAGTAACGGAGTAGGAAATCCTATTGTACTCGGAACAAGACTTTTCGAAGATGAAAAAGGATCAAACTCGATCTTACAATGTTCAAACAAGTAGTTGGTTGTCTCATGTATTTAACTACAACTCGTCTAGACCTAATGTATGGAATAAGTCTCATCAGCAGGTTCATGTCCTCTCCAACTAGAAAATCACTGGAGTGCACCAAAAAGGATATTATGTTATCTTAAAGGAACGGGTGAGCTTGGGATTCTTTACAGCTCTAAAGCAACTACTGGTCTAGGCGCATACTCGGATAATGATTTCGCAGGAGATCTTGACGACAGGAAAAGCACATCCGGTTACGTGTTCTTGCTTGGAAAAGGTGCTTTCTCATGGTCTTAAAAGAAACAGCCCGTCGTATCACTATCTTCAACAGAAGCTGAGTATATATCAGTTGCATCATGTGCAAGTTAGTGCATTTGGCTCAGAAAATGTTCTTAGAGAGCTTGGCAATAATGAAAAAAAGGAGGAACTATAATCAATTGTGATAACAGCTCAACAATCCAACTCTCTAAGAATTATGTGTTTCACGGGAGGAGCCAACATATAAACGTAAAGTTTCATTTCTTAAGAGACCTTGTGAACAAGGGTATTCTGCTGCTGAAGTATTGTAAGACACAGGAACAAATCGCAGACATCATGACAAAACTGATAAAAGTGGAGCAGTTTGTGAAGCTACGGGAAATGCTTTGGATGATTAAAGCTTCAAAGATAAACTAGTTGCTACTGCAATTAATTTAAAGGAGGGAATGAAGAGGTGGTACATAGTCTTCTGTTTACCAAGTCTTGTGCTTCCTTTGAGACTTGGTCTACGAATAATTAGCTAGTATAATAGGCCTTATTCAGTTTTTATCTTTTCCTTCTTTTTAGCAGCTTTCTGTTTACTGTAGTGGCTATTTATAGCCCTGTTAATCTTTCAATAAACTATCGAAACATTCTTATGTAATCTTCACTTTTATTTTGATATCTCTATGCATAACATTTAAAACATTTTTGAGGTTTTAATAAGTTTTTTAAACTAAAATGAAGTATCATATTGACTATTTTTATATATGATACTATTTAAAAAAATGTCTTATAAACACAAGTATTCTACAAAAAGATGGGTTTATAGAACACTTCTTAAAGTGTCCTATAAAATACCTGATATAAACCTTTATTTTGAAAGTGTCATAAAAAACTTGTTACAAAACGTCCTATAAATCTACTGTAACACTTAAATATGATGTTTTATTGTTAGGTTATATAAACTTAAGTTTTATAAAATAATTTATTAATTCAAATATACATTTTAAACGTAATATGAACTAAATTTTATTGTAGAGCGTGAATACCCTCCACCCTCCTTGCTAAATGTACATGTGATTATTAATTTATAACTCAACATTTACTGATTTTAAATAATTTGAAAATCTTGAAATTATGATTTTGTGATGATTGCTTTAAAGTAAAGAAAATGTAAAAAGTTAGAATTTGAAAAATAATTTTACTCGTGGATTTCTAACAAAGATAGGTCATTTACGTATTCTCCGACAATCATCACTAACATAATATAATGCTTACTGTTTAAAAAAACCTGTCAGTGATATGTAGAAAAAAGTTTTATCCAATCCATTATAAATTATCATCATTAATCTTTTAATAATGTGCTGATAAATCATAACTCAATACTTATTTTCACCAACATACAACGCCATTTTCAGCGATACTCCGTCGGAAAAGCAACCTGCATGCATGTACATCGATAATATGTGGTTTTATATCTTATTTCCAGTGATATTACTACCGACGGATTTTTTTGTCACAAATTTAAAACATTCGTTGGCACAATTTGTTAATGAGAAAGTTCAAAGTGATATATTCCATTGGTAGTCTATCGGTTGGACATCACTGATGATCTCGGTGGTGGTTCTGATAGTGGAAGGCAATTTGCAAAGTTCACTTTGGAGCCGAACATAATTCAGGATGCGACCTAGATCTCAATACTAGGAAAATGAGTTTCACAGAAGGATCTTTCTCCCAAAAATTACTGACGGATTTATGGCAGATCATTAAAATATACTTTTCCAACGGATTTGTTGACTTCCATCACAAATATATCTATGATTCACCACTGATTTTTTAGTTAGTCTTTAAATTCTAAGTACATTCTGGCAGATCATCAGTGGATTTTTTTTAAATCCGCCCATTTATAAATATTTTTTTCCCTATAAATCCAAGAAATTAATTAATTTAAATTGACTAACGAATGTTTGGCACAATTTAGTTATTTGATTAATATTAATTAAGTTCCATCAGAAATCCATAAAAAGTTTAAATTGATTAAGTATTATTATTTTTATATATAAGAAAATAGAAATGAATCAATTTAGATTGTCCGGCATATTTCCGGCAAAAGTTAATTTTTTAGATAATTAAATCATGATGGAAATGTGTAGGTGAATTTAAATTAATTATATGTTTAAATATTTTGAATGATTTAGATGGTTTCCGACGTATAAAGAGTGATCCGTCGGAAATCCGATGATAATTGTTAATGAATTTTTTTAATATTAGTATTTTCAATGGATCCAGTATTCGGCTTTTCTGGTTTTTTTGATCCATGAGTACCAATTCTCATAATATATACATACTTACATACACCTATATCGATTACATATACATACATATTTCCACTAGTTACATACATTCGGTCACATACATG